ATATAGATCCAGAAATTTTGGAAGCCAATATAATAGAAAGTAAGAAAAGAAATTTGCAAGAAGATGAGTTCATTTATGATGATAGTGATGATGAAGATGACACTCTATCAGATTATTATAATGACGAAGAAGAAATCAATTGTTGTAGTGATAATGACACAAATTCTTATACATGAATTTGGTAATGTAACTTAATGGTTTTTGACATTTTGATTACATGTCTATATAGTTTATGTTAGTTTGCATTTTATAATAGATTAATATGTTTTTGTTGTGACATGTACTTTATTGTAGAAGATGGTTTCAGTTTTACAACTTTGGCCGCTCCAAGGCTAAGGGGAAATCTGCAACTAGTCCTTCTCATGCATCAACTAGTGGTACAACTGTTTCACTTAATTCAATTGAAGATGTTTCTCAAGTTGTCTCTTTGCAAGATGAACAATTTTAGCCTACTCCTCCCATTGCTCCTTCTATCACATTATCTCATTCAGAGGATGTCATTCTTCCAACTACAGGTTTGAGCTCTCATTAAATTGCTTAAAATTTCAGTCTTCCTTATATGTTTCCATTACATAGTATAAGTCTTTTAACTACTAATGATTAATTTCATTTTTGTCACAATAGATTCTACCTCAACCAAAGTGAAAAGAGGTCACACACAAGGAAAAGGCCTAAGTAAAATTAACAAAGCCTTTGGTAAGATAAGTTGAAAGTGCATGTTGATTTGGATAAGGGAAGGCCAGTAAATAGAGTTCAGTCAGCTAAGTTGTCAAGTCAACTAGGAGTAATTTCTCGAGAGTATATATGTGTACCAATTAAATGGAAGGATATGGAGGTTCATGATTTCAAGTTTGCACTGGATAACTTAGAAGTAAGTGTATTCAATATTTATTATTTTTTTATTGGAACAATAATTTTATTTGCTTTTACTTGATATGATTTGAGAAATAGACACATATTAGGTTATCTAACCATTCTTTATTAGATGTACCATTCATTAATAGTGACATAGATACATATTTTGTTTATTTGATCACTATATAGAGTCACCTAGTGGGTATTACATACATAGAGTTTCATATGTTTTTATTCTTTCAACAAGCAACATGCATACTTGTTTTCTTTCTTTCAACAATGACAATTGTCTAGAGTAATAAAGTGTAACATATTATTTGTTTAGCTCCACATGGAAATTGAAGACATAGGTGATGAAGCAATACAAGAGAAGATTGAGCAATTGTTGAAGAATCGATCTAGGAATGCACGATATAAGTTGCACAACCATTTAAAGAAGTTTACAACACTTGAGGAGGCACAAAGAAACAAGCCAAAAGAAAACAGTTTAACTTAAGATAATTGGAATGTACTTTGAAAATATTGGTCTGATCTTAATATCAAGGTATAAAATCTTATAGCTGAATTAGACCAATAAACAATACAAGGAATTTATGAGATTCACTATTTTATCGGTTTTGTCTAATGTAAGCAAAATGTGAAGAAAAAAAAAAATGCTGAGAATCGAACAAAGCATACTATGCCACACAATCAAGGATTTATGGCTTTCATGGTGGTCTGCAATGAGATTGTAAGTACTCTAAATAACTTTCATTTTTAACTTGGATTGTTTTCATTAGTTTAGCACAAACATATATATAAATCAAATTTGATTAGTCATATAAATTCAGTTATTTGGAATTTGAAATTGTATTGTTACCAATTTGAATGTACATAAAATCAGGAGGAGAAGAAACTTAATGGGGAGGAATGAAATCGAATTAGCTTTTTTAAATTCACTCATTTCAAAGAGGGAAAGGGTTGGATGCCCCTAGAAGCTAAGGCAAAATATGTAAGTGAAATTAATTAGTATCCAATTGATTGTATGTAACAACATTGTGTTTGCTTACTATGATTGACATTGTTTAACCTAATTTGATGTTCATATTGAATGTCCTAAAATGCAAAATGAATGACAGAATTGAAGGACAAGAGTTCATTAGATAACAAACCATTAACTGCAAATGAAATTTGTGATCAAGTGCTTGGAACTCGATCAGGATATTAAGGGACTTGGGTATGATCCAAAGCCTAAGGAAAAAGTAGGATAAGTCTTCAAATTAAGAGACTTGTAGATGCTCTTAAAGAATCTGAAGATAGATTTAGAGAATCAGCAGAGAGAGATCTCAAATATCAAGAGAAAGTAGATGAACTAACATTACGCTTCGAACGACAAGAAAAGATGTTTAAGATGTGGCTTGCCACTGGAAATCATCCACCTGCTCCTTGAAGGTAAAAATCATTAGCAATATGTCTCCCTAATGTTTTATGTTAACTTATCTTACAAACGACTAATATATAGTTGAGTAATTGTTAATTAATAATGATTGTTGCAGACTTGTCTGACATGCATATACCTAGACGTCCAGCAACTTCAACAATTTGCTTTTTTGCTTCTTTTGACATGCAGCTACTATAGGAGTGGTACCTTTTTTGACATCTAGGTAGTGAAGAAAGTAGTATATATTTTGACATCCAACTAACAAAGAAAGTGTAGTTATTTTACACTAATGGTTGATACATTCTATACTTTTTGTTTATATATTAGTTACAGTTGGATGTATTTATGATACATGTATAGATATATAATATTTTTTTATTACTTGGTTGTTTGTTGATTTGTGGTAGAATCAATTTGACATTAATTAATATTTTTCACTTAGTTAAAAAGATGTTTCATATGAAATTTTTTGACTTTGAGAATCAATACACTTGGTAATTTTCAATCAAGAACAAATTCTCGTCGTAATTCATCATAAAAGAAAGAACGAAATATTTTATCCCCAAATCCAACACAATCAGGGATGAAAATTTTGGTCCCCAATTCAACACAAATTTCCATCCCCAATTCACTGCACAGACAAGGACGAAAACATTTGTCCCCAATTATTGACCCAATCAGTTTCGTCCCCAATTGTGTGTTTTTTTTTTTTAAACGAAACAATATTATTTGGGATGAATAGTTATTCTTTTGTGGACAAAAAATTTCGTCACAAAATAAATAATCTTTAATGACGAAACAGTATTTTGTACCCAATGACATGGCTTTAAGGACGATTTTTTTTTTTGTAGGCATTAGCCTTTGGTAACGTGGCTTTGGGGACGATTTGGTATGTCGTCCTACATTACTTTTTAGGATGAATTTTTTACTTTCTATGACAAAAAAATTCGTCACCTTTTTTTTAATTTCTTGTAGTGATCTACACACTCCTGTTGTGGCATAAGTCTATCATGTTTCGTGAAGGATTGACATAAACTGTAAATCATACTTTGAAGTTTCTCTATGTGTGTAGACTGATGAGTGTTGTCACCAAGATTGGCAAACTGCCGTACTAGACGCTGCTAGGAAAATTGCTATAAATTGTATTTCGAGTTTGCCTGAGAACTTAACCAAGACTGGTAATTATAGGAGATCTCATATTTGATACGACCATCAATAATAATAATGCAATAGAAACGTGTTGATTAGCACTAATCAAAGCCTCGACATGGAGTATCTGGCTTATATCTTAGGGTGCATTTGGTTTAGGGAGTGTTAGATTAATGGAAAGTTAGATTACCTTGAAGATTACTATAAATTTTTAGGAAAATGTGTTTGGTTAGTTGAAATAAATTGGTGAGTATGTTATTTAAATTACTAAATTGCCTTCATTTTTAAATATTAATATAATATTAATTTTTATTATTAATTTTTAAATAATTTCTTTTAACCCCCAACATTTCAGATTTAGCTAAAACACCTCAGCTTATATAAACTTTAATTTGTAACAAAATGACCCCCACCCACCCCTAGCCACTGTTGGTCACCACCAACCACCACTGTCGACCACCAACCACCACCGCCGGTCGCCGCCTAGAGTCGTCAGAAGTCGTTGGAAATCGTTGGGAGTTGCCGATATGGCCATCTCTGGCCATATTGATGGTTGAAAACGGCCAGATGGCCGTAGATCTGGCCAACAACTTCCAGCGGCGGCCGGTGGTGGTGTGCAATTTGTTTGAAATATAAGGTCATTATTATACAAAAACTTAATTAAACAAGGGTAAAATTGTAATGGTAGATTAATCTAAATTGATTTTAAAACAAGAGCATTATTGTCCAAAAAATTTTATTAATAAGGGGTAAAATTGTAACAAAAATAAGATTACTAAGTAATCTTACAATACCTAAGAAAATGGAAGTTATCAGATTACCTCCAATATTACTAATATTAACTATTATTAGTATTGGAAGATTACTAGCTAGAATCTTATATTACTTAACAATCAAACATGGTAATCAAGTAATATAAGATAACATTAACTCATTAATCCTATATATCCCCAAACCAAATGCACCGTTATATTATATATTGCTTTTCTTTAATTAATATGATAGTGTTTGTTTGTATTTTTACCATCAAAGCCTGGATCTAACCAGCTTATTGTGTTTGTTTGTATTTTCATCATAAATATCTGGATCTAAGAGCATCTACAATAGTGCTCTTTATTTTAAAGGGCACATTTCATATAAATAAAGAGCATCTTCATTAATTTTTAAATATAAAAAACACAATTTTTATTCAAATCTAATAGACTCTTTAAATTTAATGAATATGCTCTTTATTTTTAAGAAAGAGACTTAATGGAAGAGAGAATTATAAATAAAATGCATAAGAACTTGTAGTTTATTAATTAAAATTATGATATAGAGTGAAATTTGATTCTCTAAATGTGGAAAGTCAAACTCACTCTCTAATTTATATTTTAAAGATAAAGAGTCTATTGAACTCTTGTTTTTATGGATAAACTCTTTATAATAAAGAGTTTGAGTCATACAAATAGTTATTTAGAGATACTCTAAAGTCTCTTGTTGTTTTTCTTTAATTAATATTGACATTTGACAGTGTTTGTTTGTATTTTTGTCATATATGCCTGGATCTAAGAATCGAGTACCTCGTTGCTTGCTTTACATGATAAACTATGCCATGTCTATGTCCACCCAAATCTTCTGTGGCCACCTAGGAACTCTTGAGCTTGCTGCAGCCTCCCTTGGTAACACCGGCATCCAAATTTTTGCCTATGGTCTAATGGTATATATCTTAAACATTTGTGCGTGTTAAAATTAGTTATCATTGAAGTGTTAATAACGTTTGTAAATTGATTGTTCATTATTGATAGTTGGGAATGGGAAGTGCTGTGGAGACATTGTGCGGACAAGCATATGGTGCACGCAAATATGAAATGCTTGGCATATATCTGCAAAGATCAACAATCCTTCTCACACTCACTGGGATCTTACTGACCTTCATCTACGTCTTCTCCAAACCCATATTGATTTTGCTCGGTGAGTCACCAGAAATAGCTTCGGCAGCGGCAGTTTTTGTCTACGGTTTAATACCTCACGTTTTTGTCTATGCTCTAAACGTCCCTATCTAAAAAATTTTACAAGCTCAAAGCATAGTGGCCCCTAGTGCATACATTTCAGCAGCCACATTGGTGATACATCTTTTGCTTAGTTGGGTTGCAGTGTACAAGATTGGGTTGGGTTGTTTGGTGCATCATTAGTGTTGAGCTTTTCATGGTGGATTAAATTTGTGGGTCAGTTCATATACATTGTTAAGAGTGAGAAGTGTAAGTATACATGGGGCGGTTTTAGTGCACAAGCCTTTTCAGGGTTGTCAAGCTTCTTCAAGCTCTCGGCTGCGTCAGCTGTGATGTTGTGCTTAGAGACATGGTATTTCCAGATATTTGTTTTGCTGGCTGGGTTGTTAGAGAACCCTGAATTGGCTTTAGATTCACTCTCTATTTGATAAGCTCAAAATATTTACTGTTTAAGTTTATTTGTGATTAAAATTAAAAATGCATTCTGATATAAATATTTGAAGTCACACACTTTGTTTTAGATAAACCTTTTGGACTGTTCCTCATTAATGTTGGAGTATATGCATATGTTAAATTGTTGATTCATATTCACATGTTGAATATTACCATATTATTATTATGGACTGCTATATACATCTCTCAATTTTTTAGTCGCATGTGCAGATAATAAGTTCATGAAAGGTGAGAGATATGGACGATATATAATTCATAGCTGCGCCTCCATTTATATCTATATTCAATAAAAAATAATGATTATATAATAATAATCGTAGGTCTTTATATAATAATAATATAATCAGGTGAGTACTGTTTAATGTTGTTTAATTATTGTTAACTCATTGAAGCTTAATTAATTGGTTGGCGCTCGCAGTATGACAGTATCTGGATGGGTGTTCATGATCTCAGTTGGGCTCAATGCAGCAGCAAGGTTATTATCATATTATATGAAATTACAATTACTATTTATTTGTTATTCTTTAATTTACAACTTATATCTGACCTGAATAATTTCCAAACGCAAACAGTGTGAGAGTAAGCAATGAGCTTGGAGCCGGAAACCCAAAGTCAGCATCATTTTCCGTATCAATTGTGACAATAATCTCCTTCATTATCTCAAATATTTATAGCTAAATACATTAATTAGCTACAATGTTTTACCATAGCTAATACATTGTAGCTAAATGAATAGCTATTGCCACAATTTTAATAAGTTAAAGCAATAGATGAATATTAGCTTCGAGGGAGAAATTCTTATGACTAAAATTATTTCAATTAGCTATAAATATTGACTTTTATAGTTGTAAATATGTATTTGCTATAGTTTTTCTTTTCGTAGCTAATTTTCGTAGCTATATGTGTATATTGTTGTAGTGGCAATTGCTTAAAAGGCACTTTCTCAATGTGAAAATTTACTAAAATCTTTTTATAACGCAAGAAAGCTTAGAAGAGATCTAGGTCTTCACTATGAAAAAATAGATGGTTGTGAGAATGAATGTGTTCTTTGTTGGAAGGACAATGCAAATGATGTAAATTGTTTGATTTGTGGTGAGTCTAGATGGAAATCGGTTGAGAAGAATGTGGTTAATTCTAAAAAGCATGACAAGAAGATTCCTAGGAAAGTCTTACGCTACTTTCCACCAAAACAAAAATTACAAAGACTATTTATGTCATCAAAAATAGCTTCAGATATGAGATGGCATCATGAGGGGTGTCCCCAAGATGGCATTCTAAGACATCCAGTTGACTCTGATGCATGGAAATCTTTCGATATTTTACATCTAGGATTTTCTATAGAGCCTTGTAATGTTAGACTTGGGCTTGCAACTGATGGAATGAACCTTTTTGGTAATATGAGTGTTTTGTATAGCACTTGGCCAGTAGTTGTTAATGTATATAATTTGCCTCCTTGGATGTGTATGAAGCAACCCTATTGTTTGCTATCATTGTTAATACCCAGGCCTAAAGCTCCTGGGAATGACATTGATGTGTACTCGCAACCTTTAATAGAGGAGTTATAGGAATTATGGCATTACGAAGTTGAGACTTTTGATGCTTCCAAAAAGGAAAATTTTTGCATGCGTGCTGCACTTTTATGGACAATTAATAATGATTTCCCTGCACATGCTAATTTGTTAGGGTAGAGTACTAAAGGAGCAATGGCCTATCCTTCATGCAATGAGGAAACCCCATCTACTTGACTTAAATATGGTTGTAAGTTTTTTTACATGGGAGCTCGTTGATTTTTACCTATGAATCATAAATGGCGGCAAAACAATTCTTCCTTTGATGGAAAATTGGAGAAAAGATCTGCTCCCAAGAAGATGTCTGGAGATGATGTGTTGAACCAGTTGCACATGCTTCAACTTGTTACATTTGGTACGGCTAAAAAGAAGCAAAAAAAAAAAATGATAAAAATCAAAATAGCCTAAATTGGAGGAAGAAAAAAAATTCCTTTCTTTTTTTTTTTTTTTTTTTTTTTTTTTTTTTTTTTAAATTGCCATATTGGAAAAAGAACTTGTTACATCATAATTTGGATGTCATGCACTTTGAAAAAAAATATATGTGACAATAAGATAGCATAGATGCACTAGAGCCAATAATGTCAGATCTTTTGTAATAGTATTATTGGATATCAATAAAGGCATAATTTCTATATTATAGCGTTCATTTATATATTCGTATATACATTGATATATGTCCCTACCATGACGAGAGAATTAAGTGTTTTAAATCTTAATTGTGAGAACCCTATGATCACATAAGGTGGTTATTCTAAAATTGTCTGTAGCCCCAATATTAATCTGGTCAAGGACACAGATTGTATGATAAGGCTATTATAGAGTTGAACAATCCTACCAAAAGGTAGTGACGGTTCTCAAGTCAAGGTTTTTACGTGACAACCTGGTGCGACTTATGGATGCTTGTTAATGACAAGTTCATAGGACTGACCCACCAGAGGATTTCACATAAGATAGTAACTCCAGTGTCTGTGGAACATATCCTCCAACGGATGGTGGTGCATGTGATCCCTCGACTTGAGATAACCAAATCCCCGTGTGTAATTATTGATGTAATTTGACACTAGCCTAACATAATCCTATTTAGGGTTATCAGTATGGTAGTCATTGGCTGCATCGAGATGTAAACTATGGCTATGGTGGATTAACAAATGATTCATCACTCCTGGTTACAGGAGAAATTATCTAACTGAGATATTTGGTTAGGAACTACGATTGCAAAATCTATGGCCACAGTGGAATCGAGTCGGTATTCGAATCCAATTTATATGGTCATTGATTCAACAAATTGAATATAAACATATCAAGGTCAATTGATTGAAATTGACGCTATTTTTGTACTTCAAACCTTGATGAGATAAATGATGATTAAAGGATTTGAATTGCACGGTAAGCATGCTATTGAAAGGTAGCTACTTTGTTGAATCTTTATTTGTTGGGTAATCATGATGCCTTGCTAGAGGTCAATCTTGATTGGTGTACAGAACACTATTAGTTGATGCTTAATTATGGATTCGGTCACTGCTAACAAAATAAAGAGCCTATGGGTCAAACACATTAAAAGTGGTTTAAGAAGGAAAATGAAAAGAAGGGTAATTTTGTCTTTTGGACGAAAATGGTATTTTGGTAATTTTGCTGTGCAATTAAGTTCGCTGAGATTGTTGCCATATTATATTGAAGTTAATTTAGCAAAGTTGTAGTTATATTAATATTAATATAAAACATTAATACTAATATGGAATATATTTAATTTAATTAAATGTATTTTAAATCCCTTGAATTTAAATATATGAATAAATTTATAAAAATGTATTTATATTTATTTGTTTGAATATATTTAATTGGGATTGATTCTATTCCTAAATAGGAATAGATATATTCTTGTTCCAAGTGGGGACACTATATAAAGAAAGGAATAGGAGAATTAAAAGATTCAATCATTATTTTTTCTCCACCTAAACGCTAGCAGCCACTCCATTTAGAGAGAGAATTTTTCTCTCTCAAATTTTCAGGTTCTCTCTTAGGGTAATTGAATTTATAATTTATTTAGCAATCAATCCAATTGTGATTCCTTCCTACTTTTGTGTGGATACTGTGTTGCTCGATTCTTCTCTTGAATCGCTTGTGAAGTCAAATCCTAATCCGATTGCAGGAGCTGTCAACGAAGGTATTAAAATTTAACCTTGTATAAATTTTAATTGGGTTACATTATATCAATCCTGATCTTGGGTTGGAATTCATTGAATAAATTTTTAAAATACGTTTTGCGTTATTCGATGAAAAACCCTGCACAATATCTTAGAGACATTGTTAGATATTGAGGGAAAAGCAAAGACAACTTGAATGCTCGTCGTGATTTAAAGGAAATGGGTATAAGGAAGGATTTGCATCCAACTTAGAAGGGTGAAAAGTGGTTTTATTCAACAGCATGTTAAACTTTATCTTCAGAGGAAAAGAGTAAAATATGCAAGTTTTTAAAGAGTGTAAAGGTTCCAAATGGATATTCATCTAACATCTCACGATGTGTAAGTGTTAAAGAGCACAAGATAAATGATATCAAGAGCCATGATTCCCATATTCTTTTAGAACAACTTCTTCCTATGGCAATGTGTGGAATTGTACCTAACAATGTGTATGATGTTATAATTGAATTGAGCATTTATTTTAGAGAGTTATGCTCAAAAGAGTTGAAAAAAGAAGCATTGGTGCGCCTTGAATCTCAAATTGTAATAACCTTGTGCAAATTAGAAAGAATGTTTCCACCAGCATTTTTTGATGTTATGGTGCACTTAACTGTTCACCTTGCAACTAAAGCAAAACCTGCAAGACTTGTACAATATCGATGGATGTATCCTATCGAGAGGTAATATTTTGTTTTCATTATTTCATATATCTATTTTTTTTTTATATTAATTTGTGGTTATAGTAAGTTATTAATTAGTTAAAGAAACATTTGTATAGATTCTTAGGAAAATTGAACTGTTATGTTCGTAATAAAAGTCGACTAGAAGGTTTTATTGCAGAAGGGTACATTGTGGATGAAAGTCTAATATTTTGCTCAAGATATTTAAATTGTATTGAAACTAAGCTTGATAAGTTGGGAAGAAATTTTGAAGGTAGTAATGTTGATTGAAACAAAGGGTTATCTATATTTCATCAATGTGGATATCCTTTAATAATGGATAAGTGTAGGTCGATTGAAAATAATGAATGGAAACAAGCCCATCTTTATGGGTTGAAAAATTGTGAAGAAGTACAACCTTTATTTGCTGCTTAGGGTATTTTTTTTTTTTTTTTTTTTAATACCGTTTTTTCATTGTTGGTTCTTACTTTTTTTTTTTCAAATTGTTTGTAGTGAACATGAGCAAGGCATGTATGAAGAGGATTTTCATGAATGGTTTCATCATCAAGTAATGTTTTCTTTTGTGAAATTTTATTTCTATGCATTTTGACATTTAATTCTTGTTCTTTCTCCTTGTCTTCTTTTAATGGGTTGTACAATTGTATAAAGAAGGGAATACATGTGTAAATGAAGAACTATTATCTTTGTCTCATAGTCCTTTTTATGGTATACAAAGGTTTTCAGGCTATATTATAAATGGTTTTAGATTTCATACTAAGCAACTTCAAGGAAATAGGGTAAAGCAAAATAGTGGTGTTTTGGTAAAAGGAATATTCTTCATTTCTTTGGTCCTCCTTTTGAGCAAGTCTTTCTTTCAGCCTCAAACTTCTCAAATCTTCTAATTTCAGATCCTTTTCTGAGTTGATAAGTTTAAAATCGCCATTTTTGCTGCGAATATCATCTGGGACTACAAAGTGAAAATACAAGGAATTACTATTCATTTAAGCTCAAAAATATATGAGAAGTATCTTGAATCCTATTGAAATATGATGCAAAAACACTATGAAAAATAAAATTATCAATGGCACCGTTACTAATAGCCCATGAAAAGATGACACCGATTGTCCAAAAAATCCCATCAAATGATGGCATTGTTGCTAAAAGCCCATCAAGATATGCCAATCTCTTATTTCAGGTTTATTTCGATCCAAGGATCCAATCAATATCCTTTCACAAGTCCTTCCATAATGCAATATGGCATGCTCCACAGG